CGCTGGTACTCACTGTGGAGATACAGTGTTACATGCGGGGATTCATATGCAGTCGCTGCGTCGGTGCACAGTGAGTGATCTGAAAATAACGTTATAGTGGCTTATTATTACTTGCTGTGATAGACAGAATTGGGGGTGACTTGATGCACGACTGAGAATATATAAATAGAATACGTAATAAAATAGAATATGTTATACTTTACCTTCAACTAGCTGCGGAGATACGTATAGTATTACATTGCGGGTACGCATGTGCTGTCACTGCGGTGGTGAGTACTGCATGGCATGATCTGAAAGGACACCAGAGATACTATCTATTATTTGAAATAAATAGGAAGGGCATAACTTAAAAATGTTGAAAGAAAGTGGATATTAGTGTAGTATTACCTGTTAACCAATCTGGGGTACAGCGTCGCACAGCGGAGTGGTGTGCGCTGCCGCTGCATTGATGTGCACTCGTGTCTGACCTGAAATAGCATTAGAGACATTAGTTGAGCAGTAACACTACGAGGATATTCATGTGGCAGAGGTATCTGTGAGAATCACAGAATAATAGCTGATAGCAATTACACGGGATGTCACATATCATATATGTGTATGTAGCTAATGGTAGGGAAGTATAATCAGTACTTTTAAAGCTTTGGTACGATAGTAGTAAGAATAATCAGAAGATAGAGGGATAGCTGCATTAATAGGCTCCGTAGAGAACCGATACATACTCAGATTAGACTGCCCGCGAACGTGACCACCTTTGACAGGTGAGGTTAGGGCGCCCTTGGCGCCAGGTCCGTACGCGAGAAAACCGATTGCCGATATACTGCGATAGGAAAATATAGATCTTAGCGAATAACGTGCGCATCTAAAGCCCGTAAAAGAGGCTGGGGTGCGAGTTCTCAATTACCTTGTCACTTTCTTATTCCTCCCCGGTCGATGTCATAGTTGTAAGCATCGTCGAGAGTCAGCGGAGATCTGCGGAGGGCGAGTACAGGTGGGTTCTCGACTCGCCTGGCCGTGGCAGCGCGGGAGTTGGCGACGCCGGATAAGGTACGTGCACTGCGTGCAGTACATAACCAAACACAGAATTATATTGTGATGCACTGGTACAGAGTGACGGGCGTGGAATATCTAACAACTAGATTAGATTCGTATTGACGAAACTGTCGACTGAATCACGGGCATGAATGATGCGCATACGAGAAGTCGGGTCGCATGTATAAAGTCAAGTTTTCATGAAACCATCAAGTCGGAAACAACATAGAGTGGTAATCTATTAGTAACGAGTCGGAATACAGGATCGTAAAAAGAATTGCGGTTGGCGACTGGGCGAGTCTCTATGAAGGGACGGGATTCGAGCTCAGAAAGTTTGCTGTGTGGCTTTCAACGTGTATGCTTCCATGCCCGGTGCTTAGTACTACTGCGGAGTGAGTTGTATATGCGATACATGCGGACGGTGAATGAAAAGCCGGGTTTACATGTAACTACGTTATGAGCAGTCCATGAGGGACACCCGTGGTAGAATATTACTTATTAATACGAGATATAATGCAGAACCCGCTTGTATACTGACTGCGTTTTGGTTTCGCGAAGTGTTGATCTCATTGTTTATATTTGTTCAACTGCGAGTTATACGTGGTTATCCCACGATATATTTGATGTCATTGTTGTGTTTTTGCGTTACTGAGTTTGAATTACTTTAACATTGTTAAGCGTTATCATCATTGTTATTAGTATAGGTAGATTATAATTTTTAGAGTTATAATGTTTGATCATAAGTATTAATTAAATTTTTTGACAAAGTTAGCGTTATCATTGTTATTAGGTGGTTCAGCATTGTTTTTTGCTAGTTCTTAGTTAAATTAAGTTAAGTTAAGTTTACTTTGTCAGTCTAGTGAGGATGATTCCTTTACAAGGATCTACACGAATCTAAGGCTAGCGTTATTTCGACAACCGAAATTGCTATCGGGTTACTACAGGCGTACTCATTTGTATAGTGCTGAGCGATTTATGCGCATAGTGCAATTCAGTTGAGGGGCTCCCTATAAAATGGGACTTTGATTGGCTCTCTCCGAGACACGCTGACCCCCTGCCCCCAGTGATACGCTTACCGTACAACGCTGTTTTCCTGGGGGTTTTTGGGGCCCGCATGGGCTGATATTATCTGCCAAACATCCTGTACCTGTCCGTGAACCCCGTATCCGGACATGGGGAAAGGGGGCAAGAGACGCTCTCTTGAAAAAAAGGCAAACCTTGTTACAAAAATGGCTGAACAGAACAAGGAAAAATCACCTTCAGGATTTCGGACACCTGAAGAACGGCGCGAGGAGGACCCTTGTCCCTGCCCTCCCGCGTCGACATCATACGAAGGGAGTGGGGTGGGGGGGACCACGACCCCCTCACTCAAGCCGGCAATCGTGAGGATTGAGCGGGCTAACTTTGACGTAGCCAAAATAACTGCGGGAAGGATCAAGCCGGTGAGCAGTGAGACACCAGCTGACCCGAGTATAGGGGAAGCGAATGACGACTGTTTTGAGAGGCCCGCGGATAAAACAATGGTGCCGAAGAAAAAGTCTACAGCCCCTAGTAGACAGCCTTCTCCGGACGTGGAGTTGGTGGAAGCAATGGAGACGGAGCCGTCGTCCAGGCCGGCTACCCCGCGTTCCAGGGACATAGAGTTCGTGTCCTACACATCGGCCTCTAGACCCAGGAGAAACTCCGAATCTTCGCGATCCTCTACGAGGAAGAGAAAGAAGGCCGGGTCCTCGTCGGAGGATGATGAGGACGATGACCACTGGTCCAATAGATTTACGGACACACAAAAACATGCGGTTGAGGGACTCCTTGATGGGATTGAGGAGCTTTCCTCAGTAGATATGGCGGCGCGAGCCAGCGAATGGCTGAAGGAGGCAGAGGACCGCAGGCAGAAATCCAGAAATATCAAAGGATCTTTCACTCACACCATGAAGGTGAATATGGCCGCGGCGATGGAATCTATTAGAATCCTTGCAATGAGAGCGTCAATGGATGGCGACTCTGGATTTATGCGCTCCAAAATACTGGAGCTGCAAAAGGACATGAGAGATCTAAAAGAGGAAAACCAGAGGCTTAAAATGCAACTGGATCACTTACGCAGCGGAGCTTCTATTCTTGGCAATATGGCAGCATTGGAGGAAGGACAGGAGGCGCTCAAGTCCCCTGGACCCTCAACAGAGTTTTACAGCCCGATTGCTGACTTCTCGCAGACCATGGAGGATAGGCCTACGGGGGATGACCGGAGAACCCCAAAGACTCCAAGAAAAGTGAGGGATTCCCCTCCGAAGGTTGTGGGGACGGCCCTTGGTGAGGACTTCTTCACCAAGCTCACTGCAGCAATCAGCGGAGCGGTTGCTGGCGCTCTGAAAATGCATATGCCGGACTCCCGTGGGAAAAGGCTCCCGCCAGATATAGGCCCACGGCGACTATTCGAGAAAGCTGAGATTAGGGGAATGGCTCCTTCCTCGTCGGCGGTGCCGGAATCGCAGACGGAGGATGATGGCCTCCCGCGTTCCCGCCTGACTGCAAAGAAGCAGAAGAAGAGGAAAACTAGGGCGGAAAGAGAAATGGCCTCCCCGGTTCTGAATAAAAACCATAGGA